TTTTCATATTTTCTAATATTGCTCCAACACATAAGACCTCAGTTAGCCTTTATTTACGTTAGTTGTATGTGCTCGACTGAAATTTAGGTGGCAAGATCACATATAAGGGCCCTTATTTTCTTCAAACAAAACATTAAGACCCTTTTAAGCGTAATTTTTGGCATAGTTTTGTACAAATCATAGTTTTGTACAAAGTATTTAACATATAAACTTATATATACATATATATATATATATCCATGAAAACAAGAAGATAAAAACTAAATCTGCACGACATTTACAGCATCTGTTGGGAGTCATGAACCTAATTGCTGCTTATTCCTTTTAGGGGTCTTTTGATATGAGTCTAAAATAACTAAAAATTAGACCTATTTCACAAGTTAAAAGTCACTAAAAATTGGATCTATTTCAAAAGTTGGCCTATAAAATTAGACCTATTTCAAATTTTTCCTTTTTTTTTATTTTATTTTTTATCCTAGGATGTGGACAAAGCTATATATCTGATAAAAATGGGGAGCCTCTGGAGTCTGCGGCCATGTTGCTCCCCTTCATCGACGGCTCTGGTTAGCTGTTTAACCCTTTAACCACCGTAGATCACATGCACAGCGAACAAGGAATATTACACACACACACACACACACACACAGAGATATATGTATATATGTATATACATACATATATATACACACATATATGTATATGTATATACATGTATATACACTTTTTCTTGGTGGTGACTGGTGAACAGTGTCCTTTGCACAATAGCAATGACAAGACCCTAATTTTGCAAGCACAACTCTAAGTTAACCAGAAAGCTATGCCTACATGTTGCTCAGAGTTCCCACATTACTTCCTGTACATCTGCCAACTCACATTAGTTGCAATTAGGTCTGCACTTGCACTCGCAATCACACAATGTTCTCTGTCCCTTTTCTCAAACTGTTCGACTTCTTTGTTTCTTTTGATTGAGTTAATCAGACTCACTTCACGAGAATCAAAGGGGTGTGGCAGATTGAGCATTGCACTCCATACTCCTTTGGATAATGAACAGTACACATTTCTGCAGGATCAAATGGGAGATGGGCTTTTTAGTGCACATGAGGAAAGTTCGATTCAATTATTTAAAGGGAACTTTAACAAAAATGTTCCGGTATTGTTAATTTTAATAAAAAAAATCATATTTTTACACTAAAAAGTCAATTATGATACTATTCACTTTCCCTTTTATTTTGTTCTTATCGTTAAAACTCAAAGTTTTCAAACATTTTTCATTAGTTTTCCTTTATTTAAAAGGTAAGGTTGGAATTGGATATGTTTGTGTTCATTTGGGAGGGAACTGGAATAGGGGGATCAATAATTACAACCTTAAGTGTGGGTAATTAGTTGGGGTGATGTTAATTAGGTTGGTACTGACCCCAATCATGACACATTAATACAATGATGCAACACCTCAAGCTACGCTATATGATATGGTTTTTACCGAATCTAGATCCTCTCCGGATCTGTGTCTGGAGCGAACGGATCAAGAAATTAGGATTACTCAATTTAAATTATGTGGTCCTCATTAGCACATCACACTGATCCATCTTACATAAAATCTAGCCTTGAACAGTCCGAATCTCTTTCTTTCTCTTGAACGGCTTGGATTCTTTGATCCTTCAGTTCCGGATACAAAGATTCTAGAGTGGATCTGAATTCATTTTTACCATTGCATAATCAGAGCCACTTAAACTTTTTGTGCCTAAGATGCTATTTAAACACATAAAACTAACACATTGTTGATACCATCTCCAATACAAGTGAGGTTCAAATACAATGACAAAAGTCACATGTAATATTTGAGAGTGCCTCAGACCCTCAATACAATGTGATCAGTTTCAGTAATGTTATTTGAACACTTAAATTTGAGACAGCTTCACAAACAATAATATGAGTCATATACATGTATTAGAGGAGTATCAACAATGTAAATAGTTTTGTGTTTAAATAATATTATCGAGGATAAAATACTAACTAAATAGAGATTAAAGTTAGGGAGATGTCTCCTTAAAATGAAACCATGTCCCATAAACATTGCATAATATGGGATTTGAGCCCCATGCTATAAGTTGGTGTAAAGTGAAGGAGTAGTAAGTCATGACCATCAAAAAATATGTGCTGGGTAGCACTTTGGCTTTATTTCCCTTTTCTTAAACTCAATCTTCTCAACTTGAACCAAATCCAAAACATCATGAAAACAGTATATAAAAAGACAAAAAAAAAACATAATGAAAAGTTGAAACTATCACAATAAAGCATGAAGCTAATACCATCACACAGATTTATAATTTTGATAGTTTCAAACGCACGAACGATTGATATTAGCATATTTCTCGTATAATTAAATTACATGATCAAAACTACCCAACAAAGTGTTTGATAATATTCATATGTTTGTGTAGCTTTAGAGCTTGTTTAGAAATAATTTTAAAATGATTAAAAACATTTTTAATGAAAATGTTTTTAAGTTTCAACAACACTTGAAGTGTTTTTTTGGAAGAACATCAAGTTTTTTTTCTTCATAATTTCCTTGTATTTTTACTAAAAGTTAATTCTAAAAATATATATTTTTAAAATGTTTACAGTAATTTGAAAAGCACTGACAAACGCACTCTAAACATGCAAAAGCAATTTTGTCTAATAAAACACAACATTTGAGCCGCATTCTTGCCATAAAAAGAGTTGAAAACGACAGGCCGTATTACATATTTAGTTGGAGGCTTGCGTTTGGTTGGTGGGTTTGAGAAGTGTAGCGTGTTTGTATTGACCAAGGCAAGGGACCAATGAAGAGTTGACACAACAGCCTCCTCACATTTAATAATGTATGGACATGTAAACAAAAATTATACACAAGCATAATATATATTAGACCGGTACGTCATATGACGGTAAACCACATATTACATAAATAGTTTTGAATATAAACGATTCATTATTTGGTTAATTAGTTTTGTATCGCTCTTCCTTTTGGTTTCATGGTTTAGGATACTCTCATTTTACTAGCCAATTCTAACTACTACGATATTTCAGTTGTATCAATTAACAACCGTTAATGGAGAGTTTACTCTATGGAGAACTACTCAAGTTAGTCAATATCAACTTATGCGGTTAAAATTTAAAGATATGCTACGATCAGTCGTCCACGCGTGTATGCATGACCTTCAACAACCCTTGATACATCAATGGTTAGATTGAAGGTGGAAAATGCTAGCAAACTTGTAAAATTACTCCATATGTTTGCGAGAACTATTCTCCTTCTAAGGATTATAAGGATTTTGATTAAATCTAAGCTTGTTCAAGTTTTTCTTTTTAAAAATTAAATGCAAGCTTTCTATATACACAGTGAGAGGGGCCTATAAATCAACAAACCCAACTAAGTAAATACCCACCTGACCTAGCAACTCCAGCCCAATCCTCTTAATCAGGGTCAACATCTCCTTATAAGGTACCCAAGCGTTGCAAAACTACAACCCAAATAAGGGCTTATTTAGAAAGTGCTTTTAAATTACCAAAAAGGCTTTTAGAGAAAATGATTTGGATTCATAAGCATTTGAAGTGCTTCTTGTAAGAAATACCAGTTATGTGCATCTCCAAAAGCTTTAGCAGGATTCACTTGTATTTTTACTAGGGGTGGGCAAAAAAACCGTCAAATCAGAAAACTGAATCGAACCGTGATAAAAAGAACCGTAAAAAACCGCACTGACCAAAAAAGTCAAAACTGGAACAAAAACCGAACCGAACCGTTTCAAACGGTTCTGGTTTTGGTTTGGAAATCTTAAGAACCGAAGGAACCGGACCGAACCGCTTTTAATATAAATTATTGTTTTATTATTATTTTTCTATAAATAAGACATTTTTCCAAGAAGACCATGTGCATAAGCCCAATATTTTTCTTCACTTCTCTCCTCCTCCTTTGTTGTTTTATCACTTTTCTCCCCCTACATTATTTTTCTCCATTCTTTTCCAGTGTATTATGTATAATGTACATCTTAGTTTTAATTTAAGATCTACACTTTGATCTTGATATGAGCCTTTTTATCTTTTGATTTATATTTATATGCACACTTTCTATCCTCTGGTCACAAATCTTGTAGATCTAGTAGTGGAAACTCAAATTTACTTGAATTTGTGGTTGAAATATGTGTTTGGTATTAGAAGTAGAAAATTAGAAAAAAACATATATATAATTTTGGTTAGAACCGTAAACCGGCATGAACCGAACCGTACAATTTTAGTAATAAATATAAGTGGAACCGCACCAAACCAAACCGTTGAAATTTTTCAGTTCCGGTTCCATTTTGAGGGTAGAACCGGACCGTGCCCACCCCTAATTTTTACTAAGAATTGGTTTTAAAAACATTTTCACTTAAATTGCTTTCAGCCATTTAAAAGCACTTCTTAAACGAGCCCTAGTTCCATGTGTGGGACTGACATACTGTTTATGCAAAGACTAAAAGTGTTTTTAATAAAAAAAACATTCTTGGCTAGTTTGACATCAAATTTTTCTATATCACAAAAGTGGGTTACGAAAAATAACTTATTAGGTGTTTCCTTAGAAAACACTTCAAGTATTTTGAATTGCTTCTTACTTAAAGCCCTTCTACTAGGAGTGATTTTGTTGTAAACAAGTTTAATGTTTTATTAAAAAACCAAGTTCTTTTGAACATTTCATGCTTCTCTAAAAAGCGCATGACTTGTTTAGAAAAACTTTTAAAATGACTAAAAATACTTTCGAACTCACTTAAAACACTTCTGATAATATTTTGCAAAAGTTAAAACTTTCCTTGTACTATAGGAAGCAGGCACTTCAAGTGCTTTTTAAGAAAGCACTTAAAATTATTTTGTTGAAAATATCAATGTTCTCCTAATAACCGCTTCTGAACAGTGCTTTTTAGAAAAGCATTTCTAAGTTTAGCCTTGCAAAATGTGTTTTAAGTTCTTCTAATAAAAAAGCCCGCAAGTAAAACGGGCCTAGAAAAGTTCCATTGATATTTTGTTCCAAAACCGAGTAAATCCTTCCCGCCAACGCCAAGTTACAGAGCGCGGCGGTCTTCGTCTGCGACCGACAGAGATGGAGTTCAGTGTGAGCGGCAACGCCCTGAAGACCTTCGCCCGCTCCATCACGTGCCTCGCACGCATCGGCAACGAGCTCGCCGTCCAAGCTTCTCCTTCTCAGGTTCTCTCACAAACTTCCCTTTTTCCACTTTCCCTCGCATTTTCCCTCCCTCCAGACACTCCGCACAGTCTTTACTTATCAGTAATTAATTAACACTGCACGCCTCAAATTCGTACGTATTTCTTGTTAATTCGGTTTTAATGCAACTAAATTGATGAGTTAGTTAATTTCAATTTTATGCAGAAATGGGCCCTTAATTTCAGCGCAGTTGTTTGCATTTTATTGTTGTAATTGTGATGATGCTTGATGATAGAATCAATTTTATATTCTGTTCACTATAAATCTGTGGCGTAAGATTCGATCGAGTTCTCATATATTTAGTACTACCGGTTCATATTTTGAAACAATTATCTGTTGGTAAATGATGATGAGTATTTAGGGTTTTGCTTGTGCATTTTAGGGTTTTGGAAAAGATCTGTATGGTAAGTTATTAAATTTATCCGGGGTTTGGATGAATCGTTTGTGAGTAGTTAAAGAAATTAGTAAACGGACGCTAGTTTTGCTTCCGATTGAAGCTCGAATTCATTGTTACTTTTGGTTTGAAATGTATCCTAATTTGGGGATTGGCTGGTATTTGTTTGGTATTCAGTGAAAAGAACTCTTGAGGTTCTCGGTACTTATTCGACCGTCTACTTCATAGTTTGTTTTGTTACCCTGTGTACTGATTTATGTGAAATATAATGGGTGGACATAATTGGAGACCAAAATTGAGAAAATGAGTTACTAACGATTTTGATACCACCACAGCTTTACTAAAGATTTTATTCTCTTGTATCCAGCTTGCCTTGCACTCTCTCAATACATCACGTTCTGCCTATCAATCGAGCACATTTAAGCCTGATTTCTTTGACGTCTATACTGTAACTGGTAATCAGGTGCAATGTAGTGTGCTTTTAAAGGTAAGACATCATCTTTCTGTGGAATTGCGTTGTTTAACAGGCTTGAATAACATGGTAATCTTACTGACATAGTTTGTTCAGGCTGTTTGCTCTGTGCTTAGGACACCTTTAGCAAGTATAGATAATTTGAGCGTGAAATTGCCTGATCCCGATGCATCAAAACTGCAATGGACTTTACAGTGCTTCAGTGGTAAATTATCCTTTGTCATGTTATGTGCTGTTGATTTTTTATACAAAATTTGGTATTACAGAATTCAATCAACTTTTTGTAGCTGATTTAACTTCTATTCACAGTCAAAACGAGGGGGCTTCTGGAACTATAATTTGAGCACACCAATAAAATTTAGAATGCGTTGAGTTTTATTGTGTAGATGCGTCATGATGTCGTACTAGACAACTTCATTGTGCAGCTTTCCTTATCACATAATTTTCCTTTTATATACGTCGTTCACTTTCCATCATTTTAAACTTCATACCTACATTATGCAGGTATGAAAAAAACCTATTGGATTAGTTGCAATGTTGAACCCGATATACAACATTTGTCTCTTGATAGGAGAAAATTCCCAAGCAGCTTAGTTGTGAGACCCCGAGATCTGAACAGATTGCTTGCTAATTTTCAGTCATCGCTTCAGGAGATTACAGTCATAGCAACAGAACCCACTTCCTTGCCTTCTGATGCAGCAAGTGAAATTGGAGGAAAAGCTGTTGAACTTAGAAGTTATATTGACCCAACCAAAGGTAATAAGGATTTTGCATCTCAGTTTCTTAAAATTGAAATTACCACAAAAGGATGTTTACGCTTCAACCTTTGACCAGCAGACAGTGATTCGTCACTGCATACTCAACTATGGATAGATCCTACTGAAGAGTTTGTGCAGTATACCCACACTGGAGACCCCATAGATGTGACATTCGGTGTGAAGGAGTTGAAGGTCAGTAAATTCGTTGTCTGGGATCTAATTGTATTTGAATTTGTTTACACTGTGAACAGCATTGTCCAATTTGATAAGCCTCGTCTTTTAGATAGAGATAATATGCAGCTAATTACTGTTGTTATCATCCCAATTACCTTCATTGGTTGAGGCTTTCTAGTAAGGCGTATAGACTTCCTAGCCTATTTTTTTTCTAGGGTGCTTCACATTCTTTTTAGCTGAATCCTAGGTCCTCCAATTTGTCATTTCATTTTTTTTCTCGAATTATTTCAGGCGTTCCTTTCTTTCTGCGAGGGCTGTGAAATTGACATCCACTTATATTTTGAGAAAGCTGGACAGTAAGATATACCTAGTTTCTTTATCTTCCTCTTGCATTCTTTTTCTTGTATCCCATGAGAGTTTGAGCTAAGAGCTTAAAGCTCATATGCAAGTACTATATTTAGCAAACTGTGACTTAAAGATTGCTTAATTATATGTTGGGATTGCAGGCCTATTCTAATGGCACCAAAGTTTGGTCTAGATGATGGGTCCACTTCAAATTTTGATGCTACACTTGTACTTGCAACCATGCTAGTGTCACAGCAGCATGAAACCAATCCAGCAGAACATCCACAAGCAGCTACTGAAATGCACATTCGGGATGAGCATGGGACAGGGTCAGAAGCACGACGAGAAAGGTGTAGGCCAAGTGGCTCTGAGCATCCATCTGACCACACCAGAATTTGGTCTGATCTCTCAGGTAACAGTTTCTTGAATGTTTTAATAGTGACAAGATGTTGTTCTCTTATTTGTTAACTGTTTTACTTTTTTCAGGAAGTGGTGCAAGAAGTGGCAACGGTGCTGAAGGAGGACAGTTTCAAGGGGAAAGAAATTTGAATGCTAATGGACAGAGAGAAGTCCAAAGGATGAGTAAACTGCATATTTCGAATCCTGCATCTGCTGGGGGAAATGAGCCTGTGGATCCCAATGCGTATCCTAAACCGCACTATTTGCTTCAGTTTTTGCTTATACGATAATTTTGAAAGTTTTCTTGTTACATTACGACTTCTGTTCCAGTCCGTATTTGTTTCTCTCATGTGGGTCGGACCGAAGTCATTGCATGATGAAATATATTCTTTATCTATTACAAAATTGTTCTCTTGACCTGTCATTCTAGCTGCCACCCTGAGGAAAATGATCATATGGAAGAACCTAGAGGTTTGTAAGAAAATAGTTAGGTTAATCTTGCCTGTTTTATACAACTGTATTAACTAAAGCTTGTGCATTCTGTTTCTTCCAGATAGATCACAAATTAACAGCGGTGGGTTTTCACAACACCATCCTAGTAACTGGGTAGATGCAGATGAAGACGACAGTGATGAGGATGAAGAGAATGACCTTTGTATTCAGGCAACACCACCATACTATGAAGAACAGTAGGTTCGTGGCTGGAGTGGTGGTTGGCCGAATTGCTTCTCACTCTCGTGTTGTAAGTCCATCTTTCTCCTCAAATGACATGCTTTAGTTCTAATTTCCTTTTTGTCAAGTACTTAGCTTTACATATTGAGCACGACTGCTTTGTGTTTTAGTTTGAGGGATTAATGGATTATGCAATTATTTAAATAGAATTAAGTCCGCAAGAAATGGATCAGAAACTGAAATATATCATTAAATTCAAATGGTTGTTGATATAGTTTGTATGCACAAAACTGTGAAACGATTCGTGGTGTCAATGTTACCAAACGTACGAAATTGGTGGGTTTGGATCAAGAATTCACACACGGACGTTGATCCGTCACCATCACACAGCAGCTTATAGGACCTCTGCTGTTTTCATTGCCTTAAATGTGAATCAGATCTTAGAGTTGATTTAACATTGCCTCTCTAGTCTCTATTGCAATGACTTTCTGTCTGTCTTGAGATGGTTTTCCCGTATAACTGGTAACGAAAACAGTCGGAAAAACTCAGTTGCAGTGAATTCCTGCCTCTCTATCTCTCTATAGCAGTGATTTCCTGCCTTTTTCTCACTTCAACGTTCAGCCATAGAGGACACACAATGCGTGGTGTAGAAACACGGTTTAGAGAGTTTGTTATTAGTTTGAAACGCTGTCACCGTAACATCTGGGAAGTTTGTCTCTAACTTAGGACTTTTTTTGGATTGCTTATTCAATTTAGGACCTTTCTTTGGATTGCTTATTCAATTTAGGACCATTCAAGTCGTTGATTGTGAAATCTTAAAACCTGCAGGTGGGACCCACTTACACCTAGTTGGCTAGTTATCTCAAGCAGTTTGGGGCAATACGTGTTTTTCTAGTTAATGTCAGCATGAACCCTGAACATAGCTTACGTGCCACGATGTATTATTTGCTCTTTCTATTTTTATCTTTTGGCACGCATGGACTGCAGGTTTTGGATCTCTCACGTGCTTTTTAGCACCTGGATTTTTTTTTGTTTATTTTTTTTTTTAACAAACGATATTATTTACACTAAAAGAAGAGAGGGATGTGTTTAGCGTTAAATGGGCTAGTAATAATGTGGCTTAAATTCGTCTTTAGCGAAAATCAAACTAGACGGTAGTACTAGAGTTATTTTAGATATATTAATTAAATAATAATTTGGAGTGAGGGCACTTCTGTCCATCTGTGAGAATGTCTCTTCCTCCTTTTCAACCTTTGAATTTCTTTACCAAAAAATGTTCCCTTCCAAAAACAAAATTTTAAAAATGATGCGGCAAGATCCACGAGGAAACAGGAATTTAATTAGAAAATTGCATATATTATATCTTTTTAAAAAGTATAATATAATAGTTTACTTTGTTAAAAATAAAGGAATCGAAATTAAAAATATTTATAGTGGCAAGAGATTGGTGAGGGACCAGCTGGCTTGAGGGGGACTGAGGATTTGGTGTTGCGACGCGCAAACACCGTCCTAGCGATCTGCAGCGGGCCCGCCACCTATCTAAGGGCTACGGCACGTAGCCGCCCAACCTAACGCCGCTTATTTAAACAAGGTAAAACCGTTGTTCCTTTTGAAATGGTCAGACTCCTAGCTATATGATAAAAAAGCGCGGGTGTTTAATTGAAAACAATAGCAACTATAGTATAGACTCGTGCTATATGCAAATGTCAATGGCATACACATGAAGAAGAAGTATTCCAACATTTCAACGTGGATCCAACTCAACTTTCTTTTTTTGTTTTTTCCTTTATGATGGAATGATTCAACTCATATATTGGATTTGACTTGATCGGATAAATGATCTTCATGATAATAAGGTATTTGGAGGATAGTTCTAGTAGTAAGAAAAGTATTATTTGAACACTCGTGTAGTTATTCGTTAACAAATTTAATTCAAAAATGATTTTTCGTTAAATGCAGGAGTAAAAACGTATTTCTATCTTACTCGTTCTTTGGTTTCACCTCCTATCTTCGTCTCTCTTCCTTCTGTCTGTAATTTGTATCTTCACCTTTTCACGCCTTTCTCTCTATATCCAACTATTTTAGCACTAAATTTGCTAATGTTCTCCATCACAAGTGTTTAAATCCTAATTTTTTTTAATATAAGGACTATCTTCCGAATGTCTTATCACCACAAAGACTAGTTATCCTATTACGTGGATTGGATTTGATAAATTAATGCATTCGTAATGGATGAAAACGAAGAGTAAAATGGGCGACGGTTAACAACTACAAGTGAGGTAATACAAAACTTACAAGGGGCACAATAATGAAGGATGACGCCAATGGGATGGACTGATAAAATATTAAATAAAATTATCAAATAAATAAATAAAAGAGAGAAACAGGTAGGAATGGGATTTGGAAGGAGAAAACGTGTCTCGGTTAACGATTATTTGGATGGACGTGCCTACTTGGGATAGGTGTAACGTAAACCCTAGATGCCGTCTTCCATCCTCTCTCCCCTTCTCTCCCTAATCTCCATTTTTTTAAGAGACAACTAGTAGTCAACCTGCCATATGTGATTCTTAATAGTAGGTTGGATTATGAATGTGCATATGATTTTTCTTCTAATTACTAAGTTTGTCATTTGGTTTATGTATTCTGGTGCGGGTTTGACTCTCATAATTATCAATTTAACTTACTAACGTTATTGTTGTAAAAATAAAAGTAATCAATTCTAAAATTAAAAAAATATAAAAAAAAAATGGATTCAGAAAAAAAACAAAAAAAAACATACATGAACGTAGCCATATTGAATAACGAATAAGCTCTCTTTGTACTCCCAAAGTTCTATTTCCCTCTCGTATTTAGAAAAAATTGTAGCAATAGTTACTTACCTTTAACCTAATTGGAGTAATGGTCCATTAACTAAAAATGCGTGACTAGTGGTCCTTTAACTAATCAAAGCATGCAACTATGGTCGTTTTCATCAATTTCATTTGAACTTCCGTCAAAATGAGTTGCATGTTATACATGTGAGACTGAATCAAGGAGTAAATATGGAAAACTAAGTAAAAAAAATTGTAATAATGGTCCCTTAACTTTAACCCAATTAAAGAAATGGTCCCTCAACTTTAACTAATTGGAGCAATGATCCCTCAACTTTAACTCAATTGTAGCATAGTCTATCTAATATGACTCATTTTGATAGAAGTTTTAACAAAGTTGGCGAAAATGACCATAACTGCACGTTTTGGTGAGTTAAACGATCAATAATCACATATTTTTAGTTAAAAGATTGTTGCTCCAATTAGATTAAAATTAAAATCATTGCTACAATTTTCTCCATCATTTAAGTGAGTTTAAAATAGAATATGCCTAGCTTCAGTTTGAAAGAGAGAAATAAACACTCAAAGGGGCACCATTGTAAATAATGCCCAATACCAATGTCATTTGTTGACAATGGGCCTCTTATAAGTCCTTAACCGAGATTTAGCTCTTGTCTAATTTCCTTTGTCCTCCCTCTCCCCCCTACCGGTGGAGATAATCAACAAACAAAAGGAAACACAGAGCAAGAAATTAAAATAAAGAAGAGACCAAGAGAAAGCAACAAGTAAAGCAACTCAAGCAAAAATCAAAGAAAGCATTCAGCTTCGAAGAAAATCTACAAACGAAGAAGAAAGAGCGAGTGAAAAAGCTTCTTACTTTGGCAGAAATGGCTAGTCTGCACAGCTTCTCACTCCTCCTCCTGATCTGCGCCTCAATCTTGGTGGTGGGTTCGTCAAATGGGGACCAGCACCACCTCACCTGGATACCCACCGCCGACGCCAAGTCAGCCCCCTGCAAGGGCTCCATAGCCGAGTGCGCCTTGGCTGCTGGGGATGATGGGGAGTTTGACATGGACTCGGAGATCAGCCGTCGCATCTTAGCCACCACCAAGTACATCAGCTACGGTGCGCTGCAGAGGAACACCGTGCCTTGCTCCAGGCGCGGCGCCTCCTACTACAATTGCAAGCCCGGGGCCCAGGCCAACCCCTACAGCCGCGGCTGCAGCGCCATCACAAGGTGCAGGAGTTAAATTTCTTTTCTTTTTTTCGTTTTTTTTTTTTTTTTTTGTTTTTGTTTTGTTTTTGTTTTTGTTCTTGTTCTTGTTTTTGTTCATTTGGAAATGGGGTTTGATTGTTATACATGAACAAAGGGAGAGAAAGATGGGGTTTGGATTTGGAGGTGATGTGTCATTGTTTTTGTTGTTAATTAATGGAAATATTGATTTATCAAATCATATTTTGCAATGACTTTTGTAAAAATTAATAATTTGCTAGTCTTTTTTCTTCGAATTTTGTAGATTTTGCCTTTCTTTTGAATGAACCCTTCTTAATATATTAGTCATTCTTAAAGAGAGAGAGAGAGACGACAGAATTGTTGTTTATTTGTGACCTGGTTCGAGTCGTAAAAATAATAATTTTGCAAAGTAAGATTAAGATTAGGTACGATAGACGTCCCCTTTCAACTTTTGCAAAACGAAAAACCTTATTAACTGGAATCGCTTTTTAGTTATTTTTCTTCAGAACATACATAGTCTAGTTATAAAAACGGACGTTCTGTACACAAAATTTATGATGGTTTAGATTGAAGATAATTCTCACAATGTTGCTTGATTATTCCCCCTCATATTTTTTCATGACCAACATATCCTTGTCTCTATAGAAAATTATACCATGTAATAAATTATATATATTTTGTTTATGAAAGTTAGCATCTTTTGGGGACTTGTGTTTGATGGGATGTAGTGTTAGTTGTAGAAAAGTCCTCTTTCCAATATTGGTGCTTGGCTTCTTCCCCTTTTCTTCTCAAACAAGAAAAAGGAAAACCAAATAATAGGAACTTAGATTGAGAAATAAAACAAAGCAAGTGACAAAGTAACAAGAGAAGGAATTGGTGACTTTTGATGGCAAGAAAGATGTAAATTTGCAAAAAGGGGAAGGGACATTCAAAGATTGGATCTCTCTTGATCCAAAATTGTTTCTATGAAGTATAAACATCTTGATATTTCATATTGTTTTTTTCCTTTTTATTTCAAGTTCTTTGCTTTGAATGGTATTCATGCAAGAGGGACAAATAAGTTGTTGATTTCGATTACTATAAGCTTAAATTTGGATGGAGTAGATGGATATTTCTAGGGTAGTGCTAACCAAACACCCGTTTGTACTTCTCACACACTTCTCTTAATTTTTGACCTTCGGATCAAATGAATCGAAAATGATTAATAGCGAAAAATTAACAAGTGTGTGTGAATAACACTTTCCTTATTTCTACTTGTAGTTGATAAATGTCAAAAAAAAAAAAAAAATTTACCTACTCTGTGGATGTTACTATGGTGGTCTTTTACTGTTTCAAATGTCAATGTGTAATAGGCTTGAAATACTTCTACAGTGATTTCCCATTGATGGAAGTTCTCAAATTTTAGACATGAATTTCAAATGCTCATTCGATTCAAACTTACCAACCATGACAATGAAAGTATTTCAAGCCAATCACGCGTAGACACATGTTATGATTTTATTTCATGATAATGTGTCATTAACTTGAGATCTCAGCGCTATAGGGTTATGCTTTAATTGCATGGACAAAGTGAATTTGTACTTAGTAGAAGGTCCACAACCTAGTCCTACCAACATAGCTCCATTGAAATTGTCCTCACCCATGCGCCCATGATCATAATGGTCTCATAACTCAGAAGTCAGAAGGTCTCAATTGCACCCATCTCTTTCAAATATAATTTGAAGCTCCACATTAAATTCTTCCACGTGAAAAGGTATGAAAGCAATTGAAAGTTTTGGCTTTATGTTATGAGAGCTATGTCATCAAAAGATGATATGATCCCCATGATTTAAAATTTATGTTTAATGGGTGTGCGTTGTGTTGGGTTGTTAAAATGCTTTTAGGCACTCCATCACATCCCTCCAATAGTGGAATTAATGTTCACAATTTTATTTATCGTCTTTGGATTTTTAGATAAGTTTAAATTTTAAAATTTGTGTTTATGCGCTACACAATTTTCAAAATTTAAACTTATTTAACAGTAATAAAAATAAGTGGTGAACATCACCGTCACTTGAAGATGATGGGTAAAAATATTCTTTAATAGACATATGATCAAATTAAAGGTAATGGTTGTTTGTGGTCCCTTTTGCCATTTGCCAATTAAGTAGTGCAAAAGGGAGACCTATGAAATCTCTTTGGTTTTAGGCTGCCGGTAGCTTTTTGCTTGCATTATTTAGGGTTTGGAATCTCTTAGGTTTACTTTTGAAGCACATCACCGGTTCACGATGGAAAAAAGTGGATTCTTTCTTTTTGTTTTGTTTTAGTTATCCGCATGCTGAACAGTCTAAACTTATAGCATGTTTAAGCACTTGAAATGGAGACGAGAAATGAGAATGCGATCAACTATTTTTCGATGTTTCCGTAATTAATTTAATAATTAAGTTTACAAGTTTTGAAGTATTGGTATGTGGGAGTAACAAAATGTGTGTGTTAATAAACGCACAAAAACATTCCAATTTCTAATTTTCGTAACGTTCACTAACATCGAAGGGATGAAGAAAAGAGGGTTAGATCTTAACATCAATAATCAAACACTTTCGAAAACTTGAATTGGACAAATTAGGGAGAGTAGTTGATTCGATTCTTATTCCTTCCCTTGTTCGTACATTTCTGACAAGTAACCATGCCATAAAATAATTCCAAACACTCATGTGCTAGTAAACACAAAAGAAATTAAGAATCGAAACAATTCCAATACTCAGTCCAAGTTAAAGTTAGGCTAATGAACCCAATAAAGTTGTCAACGAAGATGATGATATAATGGTGATGTCATTGCTAATACTCATAAGTTAACATGATGATATAATGAACCCAATAAGTTAACATGACTGATTTTCACAATCTTTAAAATTGAGTTGGTGGAAATTTATATTGAAACAATACTAGGTAGGTAAAAAGTAACAGTTAAAAATGGCTTATGTGACTGCATTTTGCGCACTATTATTTGAGTGGTGGTAATGCTCATTATCTTATTTATTATCGTTTAATGAGCTTAAATCTTGAAATCTGTGTAGTAGATAAAAATAAATCTCAAAATTTAAACTCATTCAACGATAATAAATAAGACGGTGAACATTACCAACATCATCATCACTTGAAAAAGGTGAGAAAAAATAACCCTTTAGTCTGTTGGGATGAACTGCTCGAAGTTTATTAGGTTTAGTATTTAAGGTGGACAACTTGACATAAATTCCGTTTGGTTTGTGCTGAGTCTGATGAGCATATACTGCAGAAAAGTTTGCAAAGTTTAACATTGATAATACTACTTTAACCTGTTGAGAATAAATCACATATTAGCAGAATAAGTGATTTTGCATAGGCTTATAAATAAGTTGGATCGTTCCTTTTATGATAGATCAACTTTCTTCATAATATCATAATTATGTTGTTCCACGTATAAAGCCTAACAGTCGCACACATGCATATAATCTCATTTGTGATGTGAGACTCTTACTTTCACATCTTTACGGGACTACTATTCCAACCGAGCCGCTAGTACACAATCAGATCGGTTCAGAAGATTCCCCCACACCCGTATGTGTTTGCCAGAAAACTAAGTGAATGTATTTAATGTTTCAGAAACTGAAAACCTGGTAACCTGATTACGTTTTCCTTTTCCCTTCAGTTAAAACACCACATCATGTAATCCACGATATATAATTCAAGTAAATAATCTTTCTAGCATCGTCAATTCCATTATATATGTGCTGTTTCTCAATTTGGGCCTTAAAGTCCAAAGATTCTCAATGCCTCATATTATATTGGACCTTGAAACCTAACCACCTTGACCCAGTGGGTCAAGCACGACCCAGAACCTTCTCGAACTTAGCCCCACCGCCAAAAGGTCCAAAACGTAATTTAACCCCACGCAGTCAACGGCTTAGCGTTGACGGACTCCTTCCCCGCCAAGCGTAACAAACTTTCACACGGAGTTGGGATTCGGTTGGCATCGCCAAAACACACGCCCACCGATCATTTCTTAATCGCTAAGATTTAACATTCGGTTTTCTTCCTCCTATAAAACCCTAGTCGTTGTCCTCCAAATCTCCAACAAATTACAGCAAAAACCCAATCTTTACCTTCAATTTTCAATTCCAACCAACGAGAAAGTATTCGGTTATGGCCCAGGAAGACTTGAGCGTGCCGGTGCAGCAACAGATGGTATGGACCGTGAAATTCCTTCTGTTTTTCCTTGTTGTGTTATTTATTTGTTGATTTTTGGAAGAGATTGGTGGTGTTTGGATGCCCAGAAAATTTTGAAACTGAAAAGATGATGGGTTTTGAGAAATACCCATGTTTTGTAATTTCCCCCATTTGTTGTTATTGGCAATTTCTTTGACCGTGTTAGTTTGATAGTGTTTGGATGCCCAGAAAAGTTTTGGAATTTAAAATATCATGGGATTGGGGTTTAAGATTTACCCAAGTAATATACGCCCTTTGTTCTTATTAGCAATTTCCTTGTTCATTTTGGTTGGAGTTTGAAAGTGTTTGGCTGCCGGGAAATTTGTAACACAAAAAATATAATGCAATTTTAAGAAAACACAAGGTTTGTAGTTTTTCCCTTTTGCTCTGGCCATTTTATTTTCATTTATTTTTGGTAACAATGAATAATTTTTTTTTTAATTAGTGTTAATTACTTATGTTTTTGAAATTATTTAGGCTGAGTAGCAGTTACCATAACCCTGGCTTTATGTTATTGCTATGTTCATTTGTGATTGAGATTGGCAGTGTTTGGCTGCCTAGGAAATTTGGAAAGAAAATATAAGGGGATTTTAAGAAATAGTGATTTACATTAACCCAAGTTTTGTCATTTGCTCCTTTGTTCTTATTTCTTAAAATACATAAACAAATTCTTTGTTAAGTGCTAATGTATTTATTGATATGTTTTTGTTTTTATAAATTCTTTAGACCGAGGAGGAGGAACAGAGGCTCAAGTACCTCCAATTTGTTCAAGTGGCTGCAGCTCACGCTGCCGTTTGCTTCATAAACCTGTACGGTTTTGCCAAGGAAAGGTCGGGGCCTTTAAAGCCTAGTGTTGAGTCCGTGGAGGGAACAGTTAAGACCGTTGTTGGACCTGTCTACAACAAGTACCATGATGTCCCCGCTCACCTCCTCACCTTTGTGGACCACAAGGTACTTCGATTTTTCATGTTTCAAGGTTTTTTCCATGCTATTGTGGCGCTTGACT